CATATTCAAGACTTGCAAACCTTTACCCGCTGCCAGTCCACGGGGCAGAAAAGCCACAGAGCTACATTTCCCACATACTGCTGAACAGTCCCTTAATTTGTGTTTTGGTTCCTTTTGGGTCAGGCAATCACAGAGGCAGACAAGGGCACCCTGTGCACAGTGGGAAGTGGTGGAAATAAAAGGGAGGAGGGGGAGACAGAGTTTGTGGGGGACGATAAATAAGTCGTGGGAATTGTTAATGGATGACATGTGAAAGGGATACAGATAGAGGAGTTAGATGTGGAGGGGAGAGCAGCCGGGGGAGGATGGCAAGCCAGGAGGTCAACATGGTCCTGTCATTAACTCCAGATTAAAAGCAGAGGGCAATTCCAGAGGACTCACCTCTAATTCACACAGTGGTACGGCAGCAAGGACAAACCTCCTGGGAGAGGGGAACACACACACACACACACACACACACACACACTGTTTTTTGTTTTAAGATCAGTTCATATATATATATACATATATATATATATATATACCTAGCCCCTCACTCTGACCTTGTCCATCACAAACATATGCTGAATCTGAATCTCAACCCTGACTTTAACACGACAATAATTCTAACCCTAACTCTGACCTAAACCTTCAGTAAAGACCTGAGACATGTCCCTGCAAGGACAACATCTTCACCCACGGGAGAAGAGTCCTCACAAGTATAGCTATAACCTCCCTACACACACACACACACACGCGCGTGATGATTCACACAATTACCCGGAGCTCATGAACACAGCCATAAATACATAGTAAAATACCGACGTGCAACTCAGCCCCCTCCTCACAGGGCATAACTACACACAAGATACATTGTGACTCACAAAAACATGACTCCCAAACCTCCCTATGCAACAGCACACATGCACACACGCACACACGCGCACACACAGCAGTGAACTAATTAATCAAATCTCCTGTTTTAATTACGATTCAGATCAGTTGCTATGGGAACCTTGCCCTCTTGGAATGTTAAGGTAAAGTCTCTCATCGCTGCTGCTGCTGCTGCTGCTGCTGCTGCTGCTGCTGCCGCCGTCGTATCCAGCGACTTTACACAGAGATGACTGAAGAGCACAGATTTATAATACCTACAGTGATTCAGCTGGTTGCATTCCTCATTGTGTTTCCATGCAGACACATTTTTCTGGAGCGGCCTGAGGACGTACCTGATCTGAGCTTCAATTTGGACCCGGTCGTTGAGAGGGATAGAGCGAGAGCGAAGGGAGAAGCACAAAAGTGGAAAAAGAATATGAAATAAAATGAGGAATTATTGCAGCTCATGTCGCAGCACATCTAATACCATATGCATTGCCATGAAAAGGCCATACGTGAATGGGCATTAAGGGTGGGCTGGGGCCTGTCCAATCCATCGCTAATCCTAAACCACTTAAGCTCTGAAGGTTTTCATACAGGGAATCGTGAATGAGAGAGAAATCCATATTGATAATTTTCTCTGAATCTGTGCCGCTGTGTCTTTTCTGATCCAAGCCTATCCATTTGTCTGAGAACGGAACTTACAGTAGACAGGTTGATGACGTAAAGCAGTAAAAACAATGAAGATGAAATGAAAAAATAAATCAAATAAAATAAAGTATTAAGGTAAATAATTTCTTTAGACATAGTTTTTATTTTGAGTTTAGTTTAGTTTGTCTTAAATAAACTTGGAAAAATATAGTTTCGCTCATCACAGTTAGTTTAGCCTAGCTTAGCTTAGCATAGTTTAGTTTATCTTATTTTAATTAATGAGTATATGAAACAGGTAGACTACAAATATATTAAATATGTATAGCCATTGAGTACATTTTCATTACCTGTAAACAGTACTTCAAAAGTCTCTTTGAGTTTACTGTAAATAGTGTTTTTTTTTTCAAGTACTAACAGTTACTCAAAGCGCTTTAGTCTACACTGTGTTTTACTAGTTTCCAGGGACACATTGGCATTTAGACTACAGTATCAGACACTGTAATCAGACGTCTGACTCTGGTTCTAAAGACAATGTACTGCAGCTCCTGAACCACAGCCATTTCTTGAGCGTTACTTATGAGGCACCAGCTTCAGGGTAAAATAAGAACTCAATCACAATTCCTTGATGTAAAATCAACAGTACCAATAGTGTTCTGTGCCACATTTATACACTGAATCCTGGCAGCCTCGCCTGCTTTTCTTTTCTTTTCTTCTCTTCTCCACACAGCCCAGTTATTTCAGTCAAACAATGGCTCTGTGTGTGCTACTGCGCTCTGAAAATATCATTCATGGCATTTTCACAAGGGCTCCATTAGTGATTGATAGCTTATGTTCAGGACTACCAGGCTCAGTACTTTTACTTTCGGCCTGACTGCTTAAGAGAAATCAATATGCAAACATTTCTGTTAATTTTCATCGAGCTGAGGAAACGTTGCTGCCGTGACTAATACCTCTGTTCTAAGTTGTTTTAAGTGGAAGTGCAGCAGTGTTTTGGTCTGGATGTTGACTGGATGTTGACAGATAAACTTAGCTCCCAAGACAATGAAAAAACTTCAGTGCAAACACGCTGGCCTCGTTTTGTGTATCAGTACAGTATGAACTCAGGTGACGGCAGGACGTGATGTGTTAAAGCAGGAGAGTTGCCAAGTTAAGCCATTAAGATACAGGAACTCAGGCGTGTGTCTGGCTCGCCGGTTGTCATGGTTGCAGTGTTTATCACCTCTTTCTGCCGACAGAAGCCCAGGGGCAAATCAGATTGGCTTTGGACAGAGTGAGAGACACAGAAAGTGCGAGATGGTGAGTGACTGAGTGAGTGAAGAGGGGAAGGACATATTGGCACAGCAGAGGGGTGAAATGCCAACTCGCCGCAGAGCGTACGCTGAGGCGGGGCAGTAAAAAAATGTCAGTGCGACTTATTCACAATATGGATTTTGTTTCAAACCATTTTGGCGATGACGAGCAGGTTTAAGGTTCTGCATTTTACTTCATTGAAGAAGTCCTCATTAGGAAAATCCCACTTTTTCCCTACCAATTGCACCATGGGGAATTTCTTTTAATGAAGGAAATGGCATTACAGCAGCAGCAAAATGATTTGAGTGTTTGTATTTTGTATTTGGCACGCTAAATTAGGTCAGTACAAGAAAGCAATCCTGTGAAGACTTTTACTCAAATTAAAACCACATGGCAAAATATCTGTGCACCACATTATGACATATGTCACACTTTTTAAACGGCATATGGCAGCCTGCTCCTGGTTGCCAGTGTTGGACAACTTGGCCAAAGAATTGCCACATGTCAGCTCATAGTTGCCTAAAAATACTTAATGCGTGTCACAGAAACTGTGGCATGAAGTCAGTGACACTCAGGTAACTGTCAAAAGCGACAAATATTTTCCAGAAAAATCCCTACATTTGGCCAACATTGTACATTCAGTCCGTTTTTATGGCATCCATCTAAAGCTGCAACACGTAGTAAAAAATAACTACATCTTATTGCTTTTAACTCTTGTACAACGTGGTCTGAGGTCAGGGCTACAAAACACAGGAGTGTGGAGGGAGGAGTGGATTACATTAATCCTCAACCTGTACAACTTGGAGCTCACGCTCGTTTCTGACTGAACAACTGCCACAAAAAAATATAAGCACAACAAAAATGTTCAAATCAATCTACATTGATAACTGCTGCTATAAATGTCACACGTTTAAAGATTGTTTTTTCTTCTAATTGAGAGTTGCAGAGACCAGTTAAAGGTAGAGCCGGCGGTGTTTTGTTATGATCAATAATTCCATAATAACCTTTCAGCCTGATGTAATTTAAGTGATCGGAGAGAAGGAGGAGGAGGAGGAAACTTGCCCTTACTCAGGGCTTTGTTTACATCCTTAGCTAATACCATGCTATCACAGGATAGGAACCAATCACAGGGCCTTATTCTTCCAGAGTATGTAAGTGATTGTATAAAAGTATTTTGGAAAAAAGAAAGTCTTACTTTAAACTCATTGTCTGATAACTTCCCACAATAGTGATCACTGCTATCAGTTTAGTTTTTCTCAGTCTTTTGATCCTACGGTATCACCTGGTGACATTTACGTGCAAATGTCACTGGTCACATTATTCAACAAATGTTACGCACTGCAGCTTTAGAATGAAAATGGTTGAGTTTCAGTAGCTTTAGAATCTGCTGTTTATGTGCATTTTGACTAAAGGTGTGCTTTGGGCATCCTGCACTGCAATGATTCCACAAAGCCCCAGATGAACAAACCACACAGAACTGGCAGAATGGTGGAAGAGAGAGTCGTGAAAGTTTGTTTTAAATCTTTCAGCTGTGCCGAGCTGGCTAAAAGCGTAGGTTATATAGGTTGTTGCCTCAGGTGCAACATTCTTGTGTGAAATAAATGTACAGAGACAAAAAGAGTTAAGTCATATAGGGCAACAATATCAAAATAAATATGGGATACTCACAAAATAAGCACAGAAGAAAACAAAGTACACAGTTTACCAGACAAAGCAGATTGTATTTATTTTTACCTTTAGTATAAAATAGGCCAACAATTGGAGAGCCTTCTGTTTTTTCTATTATTGTGGAGAGCATTTCATTTCATTTAAAAAAATACGTACAGTAAATCTAGGTAATTTAAAGACATTTTTTTAAATTATTATTTTTTACTGACCGCATGCGACACAGATTTAGCTACATTTCATTAAAATATGTCAGCTGTTGGTTTGTGTGAGTAAAAGACATTAAGTGAACCTTCAAAAGTTAGTAATAATCATAAAATATTGGTAAATATGTTATTTCTATAGTGCTGTGTTCCAGTTTTAACTGAATAAACTTTCTATCACATTTTTATGGGCAGAAATTGAATAAAAACCTATTTAAGGTCATATCTAATGATTGTAATTTTACCTGAAGAAAAAAACGATCTGCCAGAATTTTCTGCCGATTTATAATTACACGATTTTTTGGCTTGACTATCTTGGAGGCCATGTTGGATTTCTTATTTCACCAGAGATCTTAAACTAAGTACCTTTTTTATTCTGGTGAGGAATGTAAATCAGGCCAACAAATGTGTGTCTTCCACATACCTGAACAAATTAACAAAGGGGTGCAACATTACACGTTACCACTAGAGGTCAGTCAATCCGACATAGTGTACCTTTACATATCTTTGTTCGCAGGGTATAACTGCACTAAAGTCTATTTTACGGTACACGCTAGAAGCTGTTTAGTATGAGCGAATTTGCATAATTTTGCCTCGCAGCTTATGTCTGCCACCTAGCGGCTCCTAAATCAATCATCCCAGTCTGGCGCCTATCGCAGGTGCACTAGAAATATGCAGGGGGTCCAGTTTCCACTGAGCACACTCAAGATGTCGTGTGGATATATTACTGATGAGTGACCGCTCTGAGGAGCTTTCAAACCAAAACGGCCTATTAATTATGACAGTCACAAACGCTGGGCTGAACACTCTCCGGTTAGCAGTTATAATCGAGAGCAGATGGCGGAAGACAGCTGCCTGGTTCCTTCCAGGTGGAGGAAGGTGATGAAGCCTCACTTGTCACGGCCGGTAAGTCATCACCACCATCATCATAACTCCAGCAACAGCGGCAGCAGCCCGTGCACCGACTTCCGGAATTCAACACACATGGCTACGATGTAACCACGCCCCTTTGCCTGAACATCTAATCACAGAACCGAAGTAAAAACGATGTCAATCTGTTCAGCCAATCAGAGCTCGCCTTGTTGGGACGTCCATAGCTTTCACATATCACTGAGGCCCTTTAGCCGAACAGGGAGGAAGGTATGGATGCCGGCTTTACTTGCTGTACCTCAAAGTTTTTTCATCTTTTTACATGGTCTTATTACTTTGTGAACGTGTTTATAGTTATTTCAGCCTAGTATGTAAGAAAAATAACTAGTAGGTCCTCCGTTCGAAGACTTGGGGACGTTTAATTTACTTTTCTCTCTGTGTAAAGACCATTGGTATTTCTGTGTCTGTGTGTGTGCGTGGTTACGCACAGTGTGTCTCTGTGTTTGTGTGTCTCTATATATGTGTTTGTTCAACGGACATCGAGTTAAAATAGAATGCAAAACACCAGGCAGTCTGTGATATTGGTGTTGTGTGACTGTTTTTATTATTCTAACACTGCTTTGTCAACACTGATATATATCATACAGACGTTCTTAACGTGATAATTAATGTTAAAACCTACAAAGTGAAGTGACTTGTGTGAAGGCTGAGGGTACAAAAATGGCAAAATCTTTATGCCAGCATTTTGGCCATTTCTTTTTTTTTGCAAAATGTTGGTTTAACAAAATGTCATACTCTTACAGGTTTTTCTTTGCTGGTCACTTGTATGGGTTTTTAAAAGATTAAAACCGTATGTTTTTAAAAAAAAGTTGTGTTGATGTTGGGTGACATCCATGTAATTGCGTTAACAGTCTGACATTGGCCTTTGTCAAAATATGTATTTTATCTTAAATATATTGAATTCACACACCAGCCAGTCATTGTTATAGTTTTGTTAAAAACAAAAACAAAACAACATTCAAATCCATCCATCAGGGCAGGAAATGTGTTTTGGCAAGAATAGCAGCACAAAAGTGTTGCTCCTACGTCTGTGTGTTTGTCAGGTTTACATTTTCATACACATACACACACCTTGTATACCCTGTGCTTGTGTGGCTCTGACTGAGTTCTCTTTGTCTGTCAGGGAGGGTCTTCATCATTGCCCTGTTCAGGCTGACACGGCGTGTGACCGTGCTGAGGAGTAAATTACCGTTGACAGTTAGCTGTCCTGTTGTTTATGGTCGCGCCTGGCTGTCAGCCCACAGTGCCAAACTCTCATCATCTTTGCCGAGCATGCCGCCAACAAACAAGTTAAAAAACACAATGGCGTCTGAGTCCTCAGGTGTGGTACAGGCTTCAGCTCAAGAAACACAGTCTGTGTCTCGCGAGGTGAGCCTGGCTGCGAGCGAAACAGAAGGAAAGGAGGACAATATTGGAGACAGAGAGATCATCAAGTCCCCCAGTGACCCCAAACAGTACAGGTAAAGGGCTCTAGTATTGGACAATTTTGAAGAGTAATATCTACATTAAAGCTTAAAAACAGGCTGTTTCCATCCTCCTGAGTATTCAAATTTTCTACTGTTTCACAGTTACACCGCATACTTAGCTTACTTGGTCCCCTATTTTATATGGTTAGTGCTTTCTCTGTCGCCATCATTAATATAATTTCATAAGCACTGATTCACATCAGAGGAGGTGATTTTTAAATTTTTTTTTAATGTGAAAGGGGTTTTAAAAAAAAAAAAGACCTAGATACAAAAATGATTCTGAGCAGCTGTTCCAGCTGAATCAGTACAAAGCTTGATGGGTCAATTTCATGCTATAAACTCACGCCAGTGCCAAGGGCCTCTGCAGGGCAAGTGCTGAAAATCTGCTGTGAGAAAACAAAGCAATTGGGTCTCGGAGGGTGTGAGAATGCAGTCTGAAAAGAGACATTTCATTTAACAGCTCGTTCAGGCCAGAACAAAGCATTGGAAGTAGTAAAACATGATGGTGCATTGCTGTTTCTTAAACGTCTCTGAGCTACTTCACTTTTGACTGCATTCCTCTCAGGTATGTCGTGCTGGAGAACGGGCTGAGGGCTTTGCTCATCTCAGATTTCAATGGAGCAGCAACAATGGAAGACGAGGATTCGGATGGAGAAGATGGAGGTGAAGAAGAAGAGGACGATGAGTCTGGAGATGAAACTGAAGATGACTCGGAGGAAGAGGACAGTGAGAGTGGCAGTAATCATGATGATGGTGATGATGATGATGATGACAAAGAAGGGAAGAAGAAGAAAGGAAATGCAGAAAAACAGGTATCTTTGGAAAGTTTAAAGCTGCTCCTTATGTGACTTGTGACTCAAATACCAAAACTTACTTTACACAAACTGTGTACTTCTGATGACACACATTTCAACACATGAATAATAGGAGTAAACACTTCTGTTTTTAGCCAAGGACCTGGTGCTGCACTATTTATTTTGGGAAAGAGCTTGATGTATGTGGAATCGCCTCCAAACGAAAGTGGCTACGTTTTATTTCTAATTAGGGAACACATTTTCCAGTGGAAGCACAGGAGAGCTTCTATAGGAAGGAGTCAGCAAAGAAAAAGTGGGATAGCCAAGGAGACTGAGACTATGTAAAGGCAGAGAGAGCAGTGGTAGAGACAAAAGGAAAGGCTTAATGTAGGTTAGACTGGGGGTGGACCAGGAGGAAGGAGACAAGGACTTGTAACACTGAGCCAGAAATAATGTGCAACAGGTTAGGGTGATAAAGGTGAAAAAAAAAAAGAAATAAAAAAGTGAGAGAGTGCAGTGTGGTGTGGCTGATATAAATGAAATAAAGGACAGAGAATGACACCTGATAAAAATAGTCAAACAGAAACTTCCAGGAATGAGATTGGAATGATATTTAGTCACGGTGATATACACATGGAGTTAAAGATATTGTAGGCTATCTCATTCTACAGTTCTTGTTGCTCAATTACGATTTTTTTTTTCTGGGATCCAATTTTCTTTTTCCGTGGTTGTTCACAACGTAGTTCAGAGAAAACAAACCATATTTTAAGAAGACGTGATGTCACACACTGTGTTTTGGACATAAATATTGATGCTACTCATACCAACGTGCGTTTCAGTTTGAAGGATGTTGTGCAGTCTAATCCATGTCAGTCACTCTCTCCACTTGGCCACTAATCCTTAAGCCTCTGCCCTCTTCTGCTTTTGTTCACCTAAGTGCATGTTTGTCGAGGAGGAAGCCCGGTGATGAATCTTTGACAATTTTGTTCTCTCTGCTGACTTGTTCCTTAAATGATCTCTGCATGATTTTCATTTATTGTTCACATTTCTTTGCCTCATCCTCGCTGTTCCCACACAGTTAGGTTACTGTGTAAAACGTCAGATACTGTTATGATTCAGGACCACATAAAAGTGGCCTTGATTGGATTAGAACAAAAGATCATTTGAAAAGCTGAACATCCACCCAACAATAGCCTTAAAAGAAAAAACAGGAAAGAGAAGATAAAGTACGACAACGGCAAGACGTTTCAATGAGATGGCAGCAGTTTTGGCCACAAGCCAAAATAGAATATCGAAATTATGAAAAGTTTTTACTTACACCATAAATGTCAAATTTAAGCAATAAACCCAAATTTCTTTTCATTGGATTTGTTGAGAGATTCAATTTTAAAAAAGTCTGCAGTTCACTGGGCAGATGGTTTGATACAACAAAAAAGGCACAAGTTCTAATCCTGCTGTTTGCCTTTTATAAGTACAATCGTCGGAAATGGAAAGGCCGTATCTGAAATACCTCTCAGAATTAAAATTGTACCAATATTACTGTGCAGTGCCGTGTTGATAATCTTTTTATTCTAAATGTGTCACTGGGCTCAGTCTTGTCTCATTACCCTGTGTTTCAGTCTGCAGCTGCACTGTGTGTTGGAGTAGGCAGCTTCAGTGACCCCAGTGACCTCCCTGGACTCGCTCACTTCCTGGAACACAGTACGTAATTAACCCGACAGTTTTAGGTCTTTTCTCTGGCAGGAATTAATCATCATTTTTTTCCTAATATGAAATGTAATTTCATCAGTTATTTGTCACTTATCCTGATTTTGAGTTAATGCGTTAATGTATTTCAGTGCGACCTATTGTCCCTTGAACTATGGGTACCGAGTCCCCTGCAAAAAACCATGTAGTTCATACAGAAACAGGGGTGCCAGACTCAGTCACAGCAGGGGCCAGAAATAAAACTGGGTCCACGTCTGGGCTCAAACTAGGTCACACTATATTGAGGAGCTACTTAAATTAAACAAGTTTTTTCAGATGTTTTTGTGACAAGTTCCTCCTAAAGAAATATGAACTTTACTGTATGTGTTTATTAAAATTGCACTGAGAGCACTCCTTATCTCATGTTTCATAGAGGTTGGTTTCTGTATGTGGATCACCTCCAAAATCCAATAACTCCTTTCTTGGGCCATAACCTACATCCTTGAAACATTCACAAATAGACAGGGCCAGCCAAGAAAAAATAAGGCGCATGGTCAGAAGTAACAGCTGTGATCTATGGATTGAAAAGAATACCTATTTTAAATGGACAGCTGACACATCAGTGGTAACGCAGGCAAAACCTGGCCTTCCACCTTCTGTCCATCATCACAGCTGAAAAATTGTACTAAAAAAGAGGGTTGCCTCAAAACAAAATTTCAAACCAATATGAGTATACTGTGAGTTCACCCCAAAAACAATGAGGACACCAAACAGGAAAATGTTTTTTGTCAGTTTTATTGTCCCCTCATTAGCAGAAGGCTATTTCGATCAAAAATATTACTGTAATAAACAAAAGCTCGTCAAAATGACACTGTTGTCACATTAAACAAAATAAAAAGTAAAACTAGGAATAAAAACATGGTATTAAATTCAACTTTCTTTGTAGTTGACACAGCTAACTGAATAGAAAGTGAGCAGAGCTTTACACCAAAAGTACAGCTAGTCTGAATGACAGGCAAAAAGATTGCTGCTTTTTAATAACTGCCTGGTGAAACAATCAAATTCCCCTGAATCATGTCGTACTGCCTCTGGTCAAATTGTGTTTCCTACTATGGCTAAAGATTAGAAAATGTCCCCTGAGTTGTCAGTGGCACAGAACTGGATCATCTTTTGTACATATAAGTGGCAGCAACAGTTACTATGTCACTTTATCGTGTATTTGTTAAGACCAGTTTGCTCTTTTGATGACAACATTGCATGAACATCCATTTTCTCTGACACATTTTGCGGCTCCTCATCTCAGAGCTGGTACATGGATGACTCAGTGTAGGACCCTTAACATTTCAGCTAATATTGCTGCTTACTCTGACGCCCGAGAGCAAACAAGTAATTAATTCACTGAGGACCAAATGACACACACCGATGCACTTAGGCGTCCTCAGAGTGGCCACTTAGTCTGGTTGGTAATCCAGCCTCGTTCCCTTAACAGAAACTAGACAGGGTATGAGCGTGTGAGAGACAAAAAGAGTTTTTTCCTGTCAAAAAAAAAGCACTCTTGCGTCGCTCTCCTCCTGCTGCTGCCGTCACTCACATATTGTTATATTTACCTCCACTGCTGATGTGGCTGCAGAAGGTTGTTCCTAGTCTGTGAGGAAACACTTGTTTTTTCTCACCTCCTGTCATCAACACAGTTACCAAATGTTCACAGTAATATTTAGAGGCAGGTGTACAGCAATAGGTTGTGGAAAGCAACAGCCATCAAATTGTGTCAAGAGTTGGTTTATCAAGAAATATGACACATGCAACACTTTCTGTCCAGATCTTACAGAAACTCTAACACTTTGGTTACAGACAAAGTGAAAAGTGTGATGTATAAGCAGTTTAAAAATATATGTATTTTTAAAAATTAGATTATTCAAAGGGTAGCTGTGCACTAATCAAGAAGTTTTCATTTGTTCTTTATATAACCCAAATGACAGAATTATTAATACGGAAAAATGTCAACAAAATGTTCAGAGGAATATTTCAAGAATTAGATTCATATTGTTGAATGGATTTTAGTTATTATTATGGATCCTGACAGTGACTTGTAGAATGTGTCAAGAGTTTATTTTAAAACTGGTTGAAGGTGAAGCTGTTGTCCCCAACAATATTAATCAGTACAGCCTCCTTTCCTGTCTTTGACAATTGACAGTCATCTTGTCAGTCATAGACTTATTGACCTGCTCCCAGTGAAGCTGGTCTGACACAAGCCTGAAGATGAAGCCTCCACAAACGACATTCAGGTGGTATTCTAAGCTAATCTGATTAAATTTTGAAATGAATTACTACCGAGTTATTACTACTTTATCTCCTCGTGGAGAAGATAAAAGAGAATATACCGTAACCTTCAAAATTAAAACCGTGTTGTACTGCCATCAACCCTGGTGGAAGCCAGTGGGATCTTGTCCTCAGTGTTGTTGCCAAAGGTCAAACCTTTGAAACACACTGCCATCAGTGAGACATCTCACTGGACCCCCAAACTCATAGCTTTTGTCGATCAGTACCGTCTGCGGTCCGAAGAAAACCAAAAAGTCATGAAAGCGATGGTATGACCCCCACAGAGCCATGATCTCAACATCATCAAATATGTCTGAGAATTAAGAAGAGACAGAATGCTCCGTCCACAGAACATCAGTGGGTAGTTGGTGTTTGGAAAAACCTACCCACTGAGTCGCTTCAAAAACTGTTCCAGTTCAGCCAGAGGAGTTGATGTTTTGTCTTGTTCAAGTCACACACACACACACACACACATTAATTGGGTTTTCTCTGCGTTTAATTCACTCGACGTTAAGATTCCTGATCAAAAACACTTAACAGTTACTTCTTTTAGTGAAAATTTGCAGGGATTCTTACATTTACTTGAAACAGTTACACAGTACTATCTTCTGTACTTTACTCTCCCTTTCCTCTGGGTCTCAGTGGTGTTCATGGGCAGTGAGAAGTACCCCTCAGAAAACGGCTTTGATGCTTTCCTCAAGAAGCACGGTGGGAGTGACAATGCTTCCACCGACTGCGAGAGGACCGTCTTCCAGTTTGACGTCCAGAGGAAAAGCTTCAAAGAGGCCCTTGACAGGTGAGGTGGCACTTTTTTTTTTTTTTTTTTTTTTTTTTTTGAAAGATTCTCACCAGGAGTAGCTCTCTAGAGAACTGTTAAATGATTTAAGGGTGAAAACTCAAAACAAAAGAAATTATTTATCGTCTCCTTTTTCAATTTTTAAAGATGCAATAAACACACTCGCAGTGGTAAAACCACACAGTGATGAAATACAAAGGAAACACACTCGAAAATGTGATCTTAAGTACATTACACACTGTTCTGAGATTTCTTTATAATCAGTAACCTGGGGAGGAATTACAGCATCATTAATGCTATTTTTTATATTTCTTAGTTCTATGATTTATACATTTTGGGCAAACTTCACTTTTTTAAATGAAACTATTTGTTTTTTATCAAACAATTGACCCCACAATGTAATGGTCATAAAAGCAAATATACATATGCGAGATACGAGTATTCCAGGTTACGAGTAAGCAACTTTTTCCTCGTAAAATGAGGAAATGTCGAGTTACGAGCGTTCAACTGAGCTCCACTGGACACTGTGGCGCTCTCTCACTCACTGTCCCTCGGTTGGTCATTTTAATTGGCGATTTATCGACCCTTAAGTCCTGTATTTCGGGTCCCCACTGTATTTAAGAATTAAGGGGAATCCTTTTCTAAAACGATACTTAATAAGGATACCACAGCTTAGGCCAGAAGCAGCTAGTAGTTAGCCAAAATAGCTAAGGATGCATTGCATAAAATATCATAGATTTAGATTATAGTTTCTAGAAGTTTGTTTTAAATTATCCAAAAGTAAGAAAAAGATTAAGCTGACGAATTAGACTAAAATATTTGGGCAGAAATACGTGTTGGTAAAATATACATACATATTTAATGTTATGGAATCGGCTTTTAACTTGTGGAACAGTTAACAGTAAAACAGAAGACAGATAACAGACAAAATGTATGTTGTTGATGTTAAAGTAAGTCAAAAAATGTAATCATGATGAAATGATTAAAAATCACCACAGAAATTAGATTTATTTGGCCCCACAGTGGGTAAATTTCACACAACCGCTAAACTGAATAGTTAAATATCATAAAAAATGAGCTTTAGATTTACCAAAAAGTTCACTCATGAACTGTTTTTGCAGTCACTACAAACTACAAACACTACAGGTTCAATCAGTCTACTGTTGTCTCTGTTTTTGTTGTCCTTCTGATTGCTGTCTGACCTGTGTCCTGTCCTCTTGGCTGCCACCTTCCTGATTATGGTCTTTCTTCTGTCCTTGCCTTCTTAGGTGGGCCCAGTTCTTCATCTGCCCCCTGATGATCCGTGACGCCATCGACAGGGAGGTGGAGGCCGTCGACAGCGGTGAGTCGTGATGCCTTTATGCGTTCCAACCTTTGCATACCGAGCTTCAATTCCAGGCTCTCCAGACTTTTCTGTATTCTCGTGACACTCACACACCTCTTTAGCTCATCATCAATGACCGTCTTTCCTCTTTACTCCTCATTTCTGTCACTCTCTCCTCCGGGCTGTCAGAGTACCAGCTGGCTAAGCCTTCGGACTCCCACAGGAAGGAGATGCTGTTTGGCAGTCTGGCCAAAGCGGGGCACCCTATGGGCAAGTTTTGTTGGGGTAAGTTGGCAAATAGCACAGCCGGGACACACACTGCACACAAGAACCTCCCTGGGGTTCACAAGTGCTCAGTAATGACAAATAGGAAAACCAAGAGACTGCACACACCAATTCTTCTTCTTCTTCTTCTTTCTGTGTTTCATACAAACACCATTCACAGAAAAGTCGGTGCAGCTATTCTGGAAAAAAAAAAATATATGTATGTATATATACACACTTAACTAGCATTGGCAATTGGCAAAAACGACGAAAAAACGAATTGTAACCTGCCACACTACGTGGACCATAATTGCACCTTTTAAGTTTCTAAACTGAGCGCACTAATGGTTTTGCAAGCTGATTTTATTTTTACTTTTGGTCCAAGGACTTGAGCTGCTCGACAGTATGTGGTCGGCACTGCCTGATTTTCCTCCTCATTATGTACATTGCAAACATTTTTAAAGGAATGTCAATTCACTTCCACCTGCCTGATTTCTAAAGCTCTGAAGCTAAAACTTAATTAGTAGCTGAAACCTTGCTTTCAAAGATACAGTTAAAAAAATTAAATAGCAGCCAGTTAAGTGCACACAATCTCCTCACCAAGCATTGGATCTGTGATTTGTGCACAATTTGGCAAGATTTCAACAGTTACTGCACATCCAGCTGCATTTATATTCTTGCCTTTAGGTTTAGACATTCCCCCTACATTGATTTATTTTTTTTATGTTATAATCTAGTGATGGGGAAATGCTCCTCCTGAATGCCGACACCTTTAGTTCTCTGGGGTCAAAAAATGAACGCGCCTTATTTCGATCGTTATCAAAAGTAGGTAGTACATATTTTTGATTCATTTGTCGATGAATTAGAATTAACTTTAGTCTAATGCACTTTAAAAAAAATAGTGCCACTACACAAAAAGTATAAATATGAAGTAAAAGTAACAGTAACAAGTTTTCATTTAGCCAAAATGGCTTTGAGGACACAGTGGTGGAGATCTTGATGACCGAAGTTACCAGTTACCCTGCTAATTGCCAATATTTTTACTTTTAATTTGCCTCATTCCCCGGCTTTTTGTTGTTTTGTTGCATGCATGTTTTTCTCCAGTGGAATTAATTGCAGCTCTGTTTTGTCAACACTAGGAAACGCTCAGACCCTGAAGCAGGAGCCGAAGAAGAAGAAGATCAACGTGTACAAGCGTCTGCGTGCCTTCTGGAAGAAGCACTACTCTGCCCACTACATGACTCTGGCACTGCAGTCTAAAGGTTTGGCTCAGCCTTCAAGCCAAGTCATAGTTGCAATCAGTCAAACAAAGCACATTGGTGGGAAGGCAACTGCTTGTGATTGATTTTTATACATTAAATAAACCATTTAGTCAGAAAAACCAATTGGAAAAATAACCAACAATCAAAACATCATTAGACTCCAATAAAGATTCAGTTAGTCTATGCTCATTTGAGTGGAGATAATGATTCCCAAATCAGCACAAATTGCTTTATTTCTCATAACATCATCATGCAATATGCAAACTATCCAACAGGGTTTTTTTTCTTCTTCTTCTGAGCCTTTCAGTAAAATATCACACAGCCAATTAACAACCGCAGCCAAGTGAAAGTGTTGTTGACATGTAAGTCGAGGAGAAACGGTCTTCAACCACACTGTGGCAAAAAAGTTCTGCATAAGTTTGATTCCTTCATGTTCTGAGATGTAATTGTCCATGAACCTGTCGTCACCCCCACTCCATTCAACAAATGCAAATTAGTGTTAAAGCCTGACACTGATCATTTATTATTTTGCGAGAACAATAATTCTCATTAAACGGCAATAAAGTGGGAAATTGGAAGATGCTGAGGCAAAGGTGCTTACTGAAATACATTTCTGAAACCATTGTGTCATTGTGATTGCTAATTGTAATTGGCTTGACTTTTTAGATGGTGCGGGTCAGGAGCTGATTTAGGATGTGTTGTTGTTCACTTCTGTTGACATTACTGTTGCGAGTCACAGCAATAATTCCCGCAGCCAGGCTAATAATGGAGAGTGTTTATTGTTCTATTTGTATCTGGTTGTAGTCAGAATATATGCTGCATATTCTGACTACAAGCAGATACAAATGTCAGTCACATCTAAAACTTGACCAACAAACATTTAAACCTTAAAACTAGAAGGAACTGAAAGTTGAATGTTACAGTAAAAATCCTTAAAGTTTGCTGGAAAAATTGCAATAAATTAGATGAATGGAAATATAATTTGATACTGAGGAAAATATACAAATATTTATAGCAATGATGATGAAGGTTGGCAGTGAATACAGCAAAAATAGTAACTGTGATGTGTAAAACTTGGCAGAACAACATGGATTAAGGCTTTTCTTTGTACATATTATTTTATTTTAGTATTTGCTTACAATTTCTTTTACATATTTACCAGTGCAGAAATGCCAAAAAAAAAGGGCCAAATTATTCATTTCATGTTAAATATATATATATATATATAGATATACATGTGCTAATATTTTTTTCTCAGCCCAGAATCATGACTTCCAAAATACTTAAAATGTACTTGATCTCTGAGTCACCCTCCTTCTCTCGGCCTGTCTTCTCCAGAGAAGCTGGACACGCTGGAGGAGTGGGTCAGGGAGATCTTCAGCTCGGTGCCTAACAAGTGAGTATGAAAAGCAGAAAGAGAGTCTCGGCGGCCGTGATGAGGCGCTCGCCTGATAACAGATTGAGTGGAAATATTCTTCTGAGACTCCGACTTGGAATGTAAATGTCAAGCCTTTCCTCGTCTCCTTCTTGCCTGCTTTCACCTCACCCCGTTGCTGTTATTTTTTTATTTTGCAATGACGCTCACCTGAGACGGATCGTTCTTCGCAAAGTCGGGCTGAATTAATGTTTTCATTCAGGGCTCCACTTGTGTTTTTCTTTGCAGGAGGTTTATTCTTTAATGCGAGACCTTACATAAACCCTGTACTTTTGAAAGTTATGATTGCAGGGTGAAGGATTATTGGGCCTCCTTTTGTGTCGATGAGATTCCTCTCATCTATTTCTGATTTCTAGTGGTCTTCTCAGGTGACTCTGGTTTTTTTTCATCTAACTGAAAACAGAGGAAATGTGAGCCTGTTAGCCTTCTCCTTGGTCATTAATTAACCAAAATGAAGTCATTAGTGTACAATCATTTGGGGAGATTTGAGTCACGTAGCCACGTTCCGGCCTTGTTTAATGATGTTGGAGCGTTATCAAGGTTCTTCTTCTTTCTTCTACAGTGGTTTGCCGAGGCCAGATTTCTCTGATTTGTTGGATCCCTTTGAGACATCAGGCTTCAACAAGCTCTACAGAGGTACTGATCCTCCTTACTATTTTTTTGGTCTGAATACATCTGTACTCTGTTTCTGCAAGGCAGTGGAGCTCAGCCTGTAAATAAATGATATTCAGAAGAGGTTGAAGATTGAAAATCAGATTTAAAAAAGGCTTCCATTTGCAGAAATGCAACTTCTCCTTTTGAGTGGGGGGCCGCCCCCCCCCTACAGTATTTCCTTAGGTAAGAGTCAAAATTGATGAATTGTTTTATTTTTATTTTCTACTTCAACACTGCTGTATAGGAAACAGATACTGATAACAAAAATCTGTGAGAAGGAATTATTGATCTGATTTCTGAGTAAGCAATCATTCAGGCTGAAAGTCATCAACATCAAATGGTTGCTGTTTGCCAGTGGCATCTTTGACAATCACTCCATAGCTTCTAGCTTGCATCGTTAAATTGGTCCAAGTGTTGGGACATCGCTGTAATGGACCTGCATTTTATCCTGCAGTCATACATGCTGTGGCACCTGGGAAATGCCTTCTTCTAAAATCTTTAAGCAATAATCAGTTGGCACTTGATTAACCTCCACGGTTCAATAAGGCCCCTCACCTGACCAACTGCTCCGGGCAGTGGTGGCTTGGTGGTTAAAGACGCAGACATCAGAAGGTTTCATGTTCGAGTCCACCAGCTGCCAAGTGGTGGACTGTGTCACAACGACAAATATTTTATTTTCCTTTCCTTACTTTTCTTTGATTGTTCCTAAAGATATTTGGAACATTACTCCTGAGAAATTTCACAGATTCTGAAATGAGTCTAGTCTGAGGGATCACAGATAACTGACTATTGATTTGGCAAAACAACTAACCACTTTGACAGGGTGACAGATTTAAGACTACACATTCAGTACCTGCCAATTTGGTCACTTCACACTGACTGATTGTGTCTATAATTGGCTGAACGATATTGATAGACTTTGACAAAAGTGGGATTAAGACTGTTCCCCTCGCATAATAACGGATTGCAGGTACAGAGTTTGCCCATCTGGGAATCTTGGGTAAAATCTGGCCAATTATCCTTGCAAATTATATTTCAGATCATCCAATTTAATATAAAACATATTCTATTTTTTTTTAGAAACTAGAATTTTTTTCTTTATTTTCTTTTTGCAATTTTATTCAAATTTGAAGGCCAAATGAGGTCTTGTTTTCAGATCACTAATGCAGTATTGTTTTATTTCATCATTTTGAGAGCTGTGTTGAGATTTGTGCCCATAACTGCATTTCCATATTTTTCACAGTTGTCCCCGTAAGGAAAGTTCACGCTTTGAACATCACTTGGGCTCTGCCTCCTCAGGAGAAACACTACAGGTGGGGTTTTAAACAGTGAATATGATTGAATCACAACCGTCCTGTTATTTCATTACACCCTGGAGCTACATAATCTCCCAACCGTGTTGTTTGTTCTTGTCTTCTGACTTGTCCACGTAGCTGCACCGATCCTAACACCACCTTTTGTTGTTGAAACTAATAATTACATTCGTGCAGGCACACCCGGTTCTCTGTCTGGATGCTGATCTCCTTCATTTACCCACAAACCTTTGTATCTCTGGGATTGCCTTCGATTGCATGTTTGAGCAGCTTCATCAGTTTAAAGTTTAATTCAAGGCTGAAAACCTGTTGTTATTTACCTTGAGCTGAGAACAGACCACAGATGGCTCCATCAGTGGTGGAAAATCTTAAATCCTGATGACTTTAATGTGGCTGTCGAAGCTTTATCTTCTGTAATCTCTCCTTTATTATCTTGTTAAAAGCTGTGTAGTGGATGTTCGATCACGCATCAACCAGTGAATACTTTAATGTGGATAATCATTTTAAATAAATTGTGGTGTTTCTATCACCTCAGAGTCAATACTTAATGTAATATTTAATAAATTGTTTTGATGTCAAAATAAATAATTTAAAGTTTAATTTAATGTCTTAGTAATACTGGAAATATAAGTCTGTCAAATTAAATATAGAGGCGTCTGAAAAATTTATATTTTTAGTAAATACACGTAGCACAGAAAAACAGAAAAATAGCAAAAACTTTGCTTCACAAAATAAAAATGGCTTAAAAATCATCCAGGTGTTATTTGAAATTCCCTAAAGTAATGTTTAAAATTATCCTAAAAAGCAATAGTTGCACTTAAAAAACACGCAGTGATAAACTAAAAAGCGAAGGTTTGTATCACAAAAAAAGCTGAGAGTTAGTTTTAGATAAGTCACAATTAGCTATAGGTTACAACTAGCACTAGTTCAAAGTTAGCTAAAAGATTACATTTGAAGATGAAGCCAAAGACTAATGAACATTTACCAGGCCAAACACTGGACCAGTTCAGTGTCAATATTTGTTTGCTTTTTTTCCCCCATGCAACGTGCCAATGATAGCACAAACTGAGCTAACGGTGGACTGACTTATCATTCGTTCTTTCCTCTTTTCCTCAGAGTAAAGCCTCTTCACTACATCTCCTGGTTGATTGGCCACGAAGGCACAGGAAGCGTCCTCTCGCTGCTGAGGAGGAAGTGAGTGCTATTGCCTTCTATCTGGTTTGTTTTTTTTGTTTGATTAGAGGGTCCTCCAAAAAGCCAGTTAAAAGGTCTTCAATTTACTGCGAACACATACACTTTTTCATGTTCCCAGCGTTTGAGCTACAACTTCAGAGCATTGGCTTCACTCCATGATGTGATTGGTTCATTCTCTTCCCTGAATGGATGTGGCTGCACGAGAGCTGTTCACCCTCTCTGTGCTAAGTGGTAGAAGTGATTCACCAAAAAAAAAAAAAACCCTCCTTCACCCAGTGTGTGTGTGTATTATTCCCACAATACCAGGAGGCTCTCCACAACGTTGGTAGAACATTTCTCTTTTCCGTTCGTGCTGTTTGCAATTGTTGATGAGTGACGGTGGTGAAAATTTCGAGAGTCCTTAAACTCTGGATTCCTGGTGGAAAACCAGCAGTTGCGGCTGTGAAGTGTCTTCTCAGACAATTCCAGTGTATGAGAGCTCAGAGAGCGGCCGCTTTGAAAGTGGGGACCCTGTGTTGTGACTATGGGGAGCAGTCTGCTTGTGTTTCGTCAGATGAACTGTTTGGAACAGTGATCAGATTTCCTGAAGCTCCCTCGGAAGATGTTTTGAAGTGCTCTCTAGTTCCTTATATTTATGTCTGCAGTAAAAAAAAAACTAGGAGGCAGCGGAGGACAGTGACAAAGATATCGACTGATGTTTACAATGTGCTCACTTCGCCCTCTTCTCTATAAAATAAGTAAACACTCCTGACACAGTTCTCAGTGTAAAAAATAAGATGACAGCCGTCTCCAAAGTTTGTCCCAGCGGCAATTAGGGCTCATGGACAAGTTTTTGTGGCCCACAACGTCTGTCCTAAAATAAAAATTTCATGGCCTGTCATCAGAGTAGCTACAAGTTTTAGGACCTTTTTACTTCAGGAGAGATTTTTTTTTGTAATTTTATTCTAACTGTTCTGTCATTAGTCATTTTGCTTTCATTCTTTTAAACAGATTTATTTTTCTTTTTTGACATTTTTATATATTTCTGACAAATGCCCTTTTAATATTGGCTACCTATACTGTTTTCTATCATTTTGAAAATGTTTTGCCCATTATAGGATAATTTGTACTTGTTATATCTTATTTTTGAACTATTTGGGCTACTTGGCTAATATTTAACTTATTATTAGTCTCGACTGTATGTGTCGTATTCCATAAGAAACTTATCTAAACCTATTTGCTTACTTTTTGCCATTAATTGTGCATTGGTATTTATTTGTGATACCTTCAAGCTAATTCTGATCAGTGATGTTTTTGCCACCAACAAACTCTCAAGCATGTTATTTGGTTTTCAACATAGAACTTACACCAGACCATGTTTGATTGTTTACAGGCTTTTCTGTTACCAACTATAATACCCAGGAATTAACATTCATTTAGGAAAAAAAAAAGATACTTTCCGTTATCATGGTATTTATTTTTGTCCACTGAGCTGACTGTTACTGTCAGAGTGTAGATCGGTTAATGGTTTCCATGGTTGTAAAACCTTTCCTCCTCTTATTGGACTAAATTGCAAATAAAAACTAAAGCAAACTGTGCTGCAGATATCGGTCCAAAACTGAGTGGTTTTGTTGACTTGGCACCACTGAATGAAAACAGGCAGGTGTTATAAACCTGGTAAATCTGTGGAAGTGCAGTGTCTTTTACGTCACTTAATTATAGTTATAAACATGAAGGAAGCCCCCAGGTATTTGTTGATTATAAATAACTTCATTCTATGACATTGTTATTTGTACCAATAACGAGCCATAAATGAACAACAAACACAGAAGCACATGATTAAACCGAGGGAATTTGCTTTTTGTTTTCATTAGCCTGTAATAGTTAAAGAGCCACTGTGGCGTTCTGCTCTTCTTTTCTTTTTTTTTTTCATTTACTGGCGAGCAGATCAATAAAAATGAGTTCTCCACTTCTCCGCTTTTTTTTGTTCATCATAAAAAAAGTGCATCATGTTTTTTAATTTTGTTCTTTTCCACACCATTGAGTACAGACTGGAAAAAAGAAAACCTTTCCAGATTTAAGTCTCCCGTTCTGAAATCAATGTTAAAATGATGTCAATGCAGTGCAGATTAGTTTTCAAGCACCTCATCACACAATCACAACATGACTTTAAACAGATAAAAGTGCACCTGATGTTCATTTTAAGAATTGAACTTTGTTGTTTTTCATTTGAAAAAGGCATAAAACGCTACCCAGGCTGCAGCACAAACATAATAGAACGATGCTCGTAATTTCTTCACTCTGAGGTTTTTATGATTTTATAAAATATGAAGTGCATTTAAGGAATGTGCTGCAATAACTTCTCTTTATTGCCCGTGAGTGAATGTGCACCAGCACTGTTTCAGAATCATTACTAATCATCATTGCTATCGGCCGTGTTTGTCTGTGTTTGTAGATGTTGGGCCGTGGCTTTGTTTGGAGGAAACAGTGAAACGGGCTTCGACCAAAATGGCACCTACTCCATCTTCTCCATCTCCATCACCCTTACAGATGAAGGTTTCCAGAACTTCTACCAGGTGAAGAGAATTATTTTTATTTAATGTTTCCTCCAAAGCTCCATATTTTGATTTGCTTTAGCAAAAAAAAAAAAAAAAAATAGCACAAAGAAATCATCTAAACTTATGGCTCCTGGTTTTGCCACATTTATCAAAAATGTAGTATGTTTATTTTTCACAGCTGAGCACTACTGCTCAAAAACGTACTGTGGTATCCGTGATTCCCACAAATTTTCTACAGGAGCCTCTTTTTATAGAGAACTATTGTGTTGAGGCCCCAGGTCAACACATTCACAGCCCTGGCTTTATATCTGCACTGAACTTTATTTGAGACACTGCAATTCCTACAGATTCATTCCTAATGAACACGTGTATTTTTTCACCTTCTGACAAATACTGAAAAAAATGATATTGGAATTGAAAAAATATTGCTGGTCTTCAACTGCCTGTAACAGCTCTGTGCTCTTACGGGGAGCCTGCCCCTCACTTTTAGAACCACTGCTGTAGATGAACATAACACAGAACAATAACAATAGCTAATACTTTAGCTTTTGAGTCTGCTATATTTAAAAGGTCATTCAAGGTTTAGTTTAATTTTTTTTTCCCAACACTATCCATAATATATGGGATATTCATATGATGTGACGTGTAATGTGTTCAAATGGAAACAAGAAAATATACCAGTTCTACAGCTGGAAGAAATGTGTACAGGTATTGCAACAAAACCACGACTGCAGCTTGAATCGCAAAAAAAAAACCTACCTTCATTAACGCAGGACTTCATTCCAGAGAAACAGTCTGTGTGATCTGTTTCTATGACGACTCGTGTTCAACAAGAGACAGATACCCATTGTGGAACAGATGTATATGTTCTAATCCTAAGGAAGAGCATAATGGTTTCAGTCAACAAACCAGTGTTGAGGAGGAATAACGCTCATCAGTGCCTTTAAGCTGTTTGTTTACCTCCATGAAGAGCGCCCTCCCTGTCGCTCTTTTATTCAAACGAGGATCAACCTGAAGGTTCTCGGTCAAAGAGCACTTCAGGTTTTTCATCACTGAGCCAAATGCAAATCAGAGATTGTTTAGAAGACGGATGCACTGTCAGGTTTAAGAAAATGCTGCCCCCTATGGATATCCACTCAACATCAAAATACCAATTTAACCTTATGAGGATAATTGAGAGAGAGAGAGAGAGAGAAAGAGAGAGAGAGAGAACACTTCACTGTTCTATACACTGTATAATTTCTCACAGTTCTCAAATTGTGTTCTCCCTTTATTTGAAAAAGTATCAACAGCTATCAAAACACACGTTGGTCCTGGTCAACGACCCTTGGAATGACTTGGAAAAACATTTGCTAAATACAAAATGTGTTTTTTACTATTGTTTGAATAGTGTCAAGAAAAATCGCTGCAATATTTCACTTTCATGAAAAGCTTTTTTTTTTGTGAGCAATAAGAGTCCTTTTGTTCACACATAATAATTATTGTTCCTGAGGCGGCGCTGACATTTTCATTTACACGATTGAATCTGGGGGGGAAAAAGAGAAATAAACAGGCACTCTGTTTTCTGTTTAGTATGTAAATGTAGTCAACTTTATTTAGTTTTCCAGGGATGGTTACAGCTTGTTCTGAGAACAGTAATCACATCAGCACAGTGACTGACAGCCTCCGTCTCTGAGGCTTATTAACATTTAGGCTGGATCCCACTTAACCTTCTCATTAATGGTAACAAAGACGGGTTCTTAAAAGTATTTCTTTTTCCATTAGATCATAAGTGGAGGAGACATTTTTTGTTTCTTTTTCTGTCTCTACTCCTGTTTCTTCCCCTTCCTCCTCCTCATCCTCTTCTTCTTTACAGTAAATGTCCTCCTCCTCTTTCTGTTTCTCCTTTGTCTCGTCCCTGTCCTATCTCATTTATTGTCTCGTCAATTTTATACATCCTCATTCATTATCTTCTCTGTACTTTTAATCCATCTTTTTCATCTTCCTCTTCTCCTTTTCCTCAACTTTCTTTTTTGATTGACTGGTTCTCCTTTTTCTTGTCCTTGTTCCATTCTTCTCTTCTTCTCTCTTTAAATGTTCTACCTGCTCCTGTAACACCAGTGTCTTCTTCCTGTCTCCTTCATCCCCCTTTTTTCCCTCATCTCTCTTCATCTATTCCTCTCTACTTCCTCTCCTCTCTTTCTACTCCTTCTCCTGACTTCCCCCTTTCTGCATTTTTATTTCTATTCACTTTTTTCCTCTTTTCATCTCATGCTTCTTCAGTTTCCCCCTTTCACTGCTACTCCACCTGTTTTGTTATTTTTATTTTTTATTATTGGATTTCTCCTCATCCTACTCCTCTTCCTTCTCCTATTTCTTCTCTCCTTCCTTCCCCTTTTGTCTGCCCTTTCCTCATCGGTCATCTCATCGTCTTCCTCTCCTTGTTTCCTTCTATAGTCATCTCTCATTTGTCTCTGATTTCTTTCTGTTATCTTTCCCTTCCTCACCATTTTCTCCTTTTTTTCCTGCTCCTCTCAAACCACACTGCTTCTTCTGTACAGCTTCTAATTGACTTTCCGTCCATTTTTCTCCATTTTTCATAGGCTTAGGATTCAAGAACCAACTCCCAGTGGTCTGATTCCCTGCAATTGTTATTCTGCTTGCTTAACAGTTCCACTAATCCATTCTACGGATGCATTTCTGTGATGACGTATCTGTGAAACAACATCACAGGAATGCTCCTTAATTTACAATTGATGCATCAGGTCCAGGGTGAAGAGCACAGAGTCGTCTTCACTAATGAAAAGATAGAGAGACTCTGCAAATGGATTGCACAGCATGGTGCTTTCAAAGTGCCTGGATAATTTAGTTACACTCCCACTGTTAAACAAGAACCAGACATCGTCTCATTATTTAAATCAAAAGCTCAGTCAGGTCAAGTGGACTCTACATATTGGTTCAACATGTTGGTTACACTAAATTAGCACTATAGTGAGAATCATCAAGAAGGAGTCAAATCGATAAGTGATATCGACGGTGGAATGGGAATTGTTCAGTTCTTATTAATTCCTATTCCTTCTTGTTCACTTCCTCTGATCAAGACTTATTCCTGACTCTGGTCTTTTCCAGGTGACTCACCTGGTGTTCCAGTACCTGAAGTTGCTGCAGACTCTAGGACCACAGCAAAGGTGCCGTCTGCCTCTTCCCACTGACACACACAGTCATTCAAACCAACACAGTAGAGTGTAGACAAAGGTGACGTAAACAAAATCTGAGCTTAAACCTTTTGTTGACTGATGACTGAGAAGCAACGTCACCTGTGTTCATATTGATGCCTTACAAACCTTCATTCTTTGTTGTAGGGACAGAGTGTTTGCAGTAAAAGCAAATGAATTGATCTACAACCATATGATCACAACTGTCTGTTGTGGATTTTTGTTGATTAAAACACAATACAAAAACAAAAATTATTAGGATTACAAAATGTTTTTTTTACCAGCAGGTTGAAGCTGGTAAAAGCAACAACTGCACCGTGATGCATATAGTGGGTTGTAATTTGATAGGGACGTTGCCTTAGATATCGATGCCCTCTGTCATTTTAGGGTCTGTGGTGTTTCTCCATCTGTGTGAGACTCAATTCTGTGTCATTTTAAATTTTCCCCGGGATAATAACGATAAGCTCCTTCCTCTTATCTGTTTGTTCTTGCTCGCAGAATATATGAAGAGATCCAGAAGATTGAAGCAAATGAGTTTCACTATCAGGAGCAGGTACCAAAGCTCAAGCGCCATTTTGCTGCTGCAGCGTCAGATTAGCTCATATTGAGCCTTGACCACTGAGACAGATCTCTGTTTTGTCAGATCGATCCCATAGACTATGTGGAGGACATTTGTGAGAACATGCAGCTGTTTCCTAAAGAAGACTTCCTGACAGGAGATCAGCTGCTGTTTCAGTATAAACCAGAAGTGAGTAGTTTTGTCCTTTTCTTTACTGTTTGACATGCAGCTCAGAAAGACTTTGTCATTTCTAAAGTTTGACTGCTGCAAAGAATGAATAATTTATTATATAAAGGAAAATAGGTTTTATGGTTTGTAGAGATACTGGAAATCCAAAACAATTGTTAAATTGTAACTATATATTTTTTCCTTTTTAAAGTCTTCGGCCCCAAAGTTTTGATGTGTTTTCTTTTTATAAATGCAGAGAAATAAGTTAGAGCTGCTCATTCTGAACTACTTTCAATCAAAAAGTATATAATTTAGAAATGTTCTTCAGCTTGGAGATGCTCGGGCCAACCTGTAATACTTGAAATTGCCAGAAAATAAATAAAAAGTATGAGACAAATTTAGATCCAAACTATTACAAAGATAGTCAAGAATACCTTAAACTTGCCAAGTGAAAAAAGTTTATTTTTTATCAGGCAACCAATGGGTAACCCAGAAAAAAATAGACAAATTGTACAACGGTTAAAGAGAACTCTTTAAAGCCAAAAGTTACCTGAAACTTTGAATTATAGCAGGAATAGCTATTGACCAATTACATAGGAATTAGCCAGATTTTTCCAAACATTGCTCAACGTTACCAAAAAAAAAGTTAGCTGAAGAGCTTGCGAATTAGATATGAGCAATCAATTAGGCAATATTTTCTAAAAGATGGCTCATTGGGCATAAACAATCTAAAAATTAGCCAAAAATATAAATTGGATAGCTTATAATTGGGCAACAAGCTGGAGGTTTCCAAAGTAAAGGCTAATTAATTGTGCATAAATGTTTTAAAGATAGCCGAAATTAGCCAACAAAGTCTAAGGAGGCTAAATACATTACATTGCAAAAAGTTCAGAAAAAACTTAGGAGTTGGCAGAAATATCTGTGAGCTAGCTTCCAACCAAAAAGTGGCAGAACACAACTAAAAGTTTGCTTGACAAAATGCTTAAACTTCCCCCCAAATTGAGTCAATATGACAGCTGCAAGCTGTGGAACGTGTTAAAATTTAGTTGCATGTGACCTAGAAAAAAAAAAGGAAAGAAAAACTTCTAAACTTAGAAGCCAGTGAAAATAAGACAATTAGTCTCCTGTTTGGTGAGTGGAGTGTCTTTTTTGTTTCCTGCGTAGATCATCAGTGCAGCTGTGTCACTCCTCACCCCTGAGAGAGCCAACCTGATGCTGCTGTCACCAGAACATGAGGGCCAGTGTCCCCTCAGGGAGAAGTGGTTTGGCACCCAGTACAGTGTGGAGGGTGTGTTCATCTCTGTTTCTGTGTGTGTGTGTGTGTGTGTGTTGTTTACCTGATGACTGTCACTGCATTTGCTGAATCCCTCAGTGCATATTTATAGCTATATATATATATGCATGTGTTGATATCCAGCCTGATGTCGACCAGGGACCAAATTGTCAGCATCGTGTTCTCTTCCAGATGTCAACTTTAGTATTAGAGTCCTGTTAATATGTGGAAGGAAATCCTAAAACACACACGCTGTCTGAAGGTCTTTCAACTCCAGACCGCATCTCACTTGCAGATTTCTGTTCAGCTTTTCACTCAAACACATTTTTACGTCCTCAGACATAAGTCAGGAGTGGATGGAGAAGTGGACCAACCACCTGGAGCTGAACAATGACCTCCACCTGCCCGCAGAGAACAAGTTCATCGGTGAGAGAAATCTTAATTTTGTGTGGCAGAGTTGGTCCAGTCGAGAAAACAAGATGGTCACAACACAACATTATGTTAAAAAGTGACTTATTGGGTTTCAAGTTTTCACTAAATTAGTCCCAGTGAGCCTGCGAAAGACCCTGAAGCTGGGAACATAGTTGGAGCAGATACTCAACTAGAAAAGTGAAATTTAATATATAGTCAGGTATTTGACAGTATCTGAATAAACAGCAGCTGTGGGTCAGGTTTTTTCAATGTTTCCATAAACCAAAATAAAAAGTTCAGAATTGTGGATTTAACTTTGAAGCCCATGCTGTGCTTTTTCTTTAAAGTGACTGTGTAGTTTCACTGTTGCCTTTTTAGTGATTTTAACCTCGTTCACTTCACACGGCACCCCAGAAATAATTACAGCCCCAATTAGTTACTGTTTTTTGACAAATTGCCTCTGTCGTGTTTGCATTTTCTTGCAGTTTCTTATTTCTTTTTAATGTTACAGTGTTTCATCATCTGGGCCGGCAGTTTGACAGAGGAGAAGGGATTTTGTCTTACGCCATAGATTAACGTCAGATGTAACAAGAAATATTTACGATAGGCCGAGGCTCATGGGACAGGAAATTTAGTCTGTGTTGGTCTAAGCCTGTACAGCAAAATGTGTTTTTGCTCAGTGAGAAAAACATATCTTTATTTAAAGCCTTTTGTTTCTGTCACCTTATATAACCTACAGAATTAACAAGGAGACATTTAAAATCAATTTCCCAAAGAGAAATGTTGACTGCTGTTGTAATCTCTTATCTCCCAGTGATTTAGCAAAACTTTTCAGCAGTATGTTATTATAAATCATTTTAAAAAACATACATTGTTGGTATGTGTTTTAAACTCATCTGACTGGGGTCAAAATAAAACGCATTTAAAAAGTGTACTTCATTTTAAAAAACATACATTGTTGGTGTTTTAAACTCATCTGACTGGGGTGAAAATAAACGCATTTAAAAAGTGTATAGAGTTAGCTATAATTTAGTCAAAAATGAGGAATAAGTGTATTAAACGTTAGCCCATGGGTGATTGCTGAAGATTAACCAACACTATTACAGTATTTGGTTAAATTTGGTTAAAATAAAGCAAATGCTAAAGTAAATGCTTTCCAACTTTTTTCTCGGGACATTAAAGGCATCACTGTCTTTACTATGAGCAAAATGAATTCTCCCAGACAGTTTGGTTTGGTGTTGCCTCAGCCTCAAAGCTGAGAGGCTAAATCACAAATTGTAAATTATAAACAGACGGAGGATTTTGTAACCTTAGGGCTCAGTACATTTGTTTTTTATTTATTTAACAGTAGTTTTTACTTTAAAAAAGACCTTCACAGAATGCATTGACTGATTTAATAATTTAAGTGAAAACCCGTTAAATATCAAATGTTTTGAAACAATGGCAGTCTGGTGTAATTTAGACCGAACTTATTTTTGCATTATGATCCGTTTGAACATCACTCAGGGCCACGGCACTACCTGGTAAATCCTGATGTGTTTTAAGCTGATGCATCTTCACTCATCGGCCCAGGGGTTCCTGAATCATTCATCCATAAGGGTGGTTGACATCTCTCTCTGCATTGATTTGCTGCATATTTATCCCCAAACTGGAATATATTGAACTGGTGAAAGCTTACAAATTATTTATGAGATTGCACCAAGTGTGAGACTGCTGGCTTATTGTGTATGTGCATTTTTTTTCTTGTGCCTGTTACTTCTAGCCACCGACTTTACCCTGAAGCCCTCTGACATCCCAGACAGCGAGTACCCGGTCCAGTTAGCCAGCAGCGACAGGGGCTACCTGTGGTACAAGAAGGACACCAAATTCAAAACTCCAAAAGGTTGGACACAGAGTGTGTGTCAGTATGTGTGTGTGCGCCTATTTGTCAGTGTGTGTCTGTATTTGTATCAGTCTGTGTGTTTGTGTGTACCTGTATTCCTTTCCCTGCTGAATGTTTGAGTGGGGACATTTAACATTAATAGTGAGTTGTTGACACATGTCTGTCCTTCTCTCCTGCTGCAGCCTACATCAGATTCCACTTAATCTCCCCAGTAATCCAACAATCTGCCAAGAAGTAAGAGCAGGCTCAGACACAGTCTTGAGAAAATTATATTTGTTGTTTTTATTTTAACACTCATTAATTTTTTCCCACACCTTATTATCACTTTCCTTTGTTCTTTCCTTCCTGGTGCTCTGAATATAATCCCCTTGATTTTAACCTCTATTTTCATCTTTAACTTTCTCTGTTTTCACCCACTCCTTATTTGCTTTTTCTCTGATTTTTCCACTCTACTATTTCTCTCTGCTCTTACTCTTTGACCTTACCCCCATCCTTCCACCTGTTTCAGTGTAGTCCTGTTCGACCTACTGGTCAACATCCTTGGACACAACCTGGCAGAGCCGGCCTACGAGGCTGAAGTGGCCCAGCTGGACTACAAACTGGTGGCCGGTGAACACGGCCTGGTCATCAAGGTCAAAGGATTCAACCATAAACTGAGCGTGAGTGAAAACCATTTTCACAAACAGATATTTAAAAAAACACATTTTTTCCCCACATCTGATTAGTTATGCAATGTAGGTCCTACATGTCGACCATGAAATAAATATACTGCACTGCTCACATAATTAAGGGGACGCTTAATCATTACTGTCTCACACCAAGTAATTAGACTGCATGGATATTATTCTTTCTTTTTATGGAGCACAAGTGATTGTGATGCTAATGAAAGTGGTTCAGAACATGGTGGCAACAGACAATGGCTTTGTCTTGTGTCTGAATTACCCTTCACTGTTACATTTCATGTCTCTGTCAGAAAGGGGCAGCGTGACCTTCTGCACGCTCTGCTTGGTGTGGCATAACCACACGTGTGGTTCTAAGAAGGTTGGCTGTGCCTCGAGTGCATACGAGCGATACGAGGACAAAGGGCGACAGTGCCGGGGAGCAGGAACGTGGGCATTCAGCATCTTTTATGCAGAGGAGAAAACAGAAAGATGAAAACGACCTCTAGCTGGATGCTGGTTTGGATGTTTCTCACCAAAACGTGTCAGAAACAGATACCATGAGCATGACTTTACATCCATGGCGGTCTGACGTCCTCTAATTAGACCTTTCCTGACAGACCAGCATGATGCAGCCTGACTAGTGGTCTTTAGAGAATTTCAGAATTGGTGGGTGTGCCAGTGGCACGCCGTTCTCCACACCGATGAGAACAGATTGGTGCTGAGCTTGGTTCGCCTGGAATGACAGCATCTGAAACTGCTGTGATGTAGGATATGGAGCCTGCAGCTGTATCCAGCACTGTGGCCTCACCAGTGGATCTGTGATAGAGCTAGAAATTCAAAAGTATATATGGTGTGTGTATATATATATATATATATATATACACACACACACACACCATGCTTTCACCTGGTGAATAATGAAATCTGTCCAAGGTGAATCAGTCTCTAATGGTGTCTTTGATATTCCAGGGTTTCCACCATGTTCTGCAGCAGTGTTGACCCACCGCTTCAGAAATATGGCAGACACACAGTCACGTTCTTACTGTTACAGTACCCTGAATAATACACACAATGAAGTGTCTCGTTCCTGCTGGACGTTGATAGGTTTATCAATAAACAAGGCCTCAGGTTATTATAGCCTGAACGTTCAACACCTCATAATGTGTAAGAGCTAAATGTATCATCTGTCACTGCTGAAGTCGGTGTCGTTTTGGTAATAGTGCCATCACTGACGCCCAGCAGTTTTCTTTTCTCAGTTTATAACAAACAAAACTGTGGCAGTGCCAGGTTTTTATTTTTAAGAATAATAGACTTTCGTCAAGTATATCATGAGTATGGTTATATGGCAGCTTTGAGCTATTCCCAAGAAGAGACTGACTTCAGCAGAGAAGTGAGGGTTGAAAACAGAATCGTAGCCTCCAAGTCTATCTCTCTGTCTGTCAGTCAGTTTCTCTCACTCTCACCTCTCTCTCTCTCTCTCTCTCCCCCTCTATCTCTCTCTGTTTCTCTGTCTCCTCTCTATCTCTGTCTCTTAAATGTCAGACTGCACCTTTACAAATGGTGGAAAGACAAAGGAGAGTGTAGCGTCAGGGCAGAAACGGCAAGTGCCCATCAAGAACAAGGCCAGTGGCCTTATTAAAAAATTCACAGTAATGATAATCCTTTGGATCCAGAGCCTCGTATGTGACCTGAAGGTCCAGACCAAAACTGTTGGAGGAATTCTGATGTTGGAAAAAAAAACCTTTAAAAGTAATTTAGTCATTTTATTCATTACCATGATATTCTTACTTTGGATAATATAAAGAGAAAATACATCTGCTGATGCTGACTACTACGAATAATAATCAATTATAATAAATCCATGATTATAGTCTTATTGTTGTTATTTATTATTGTCATTTATTTGTAATTTGAGACGCATATCTGCTCCTTGAATGAGTTTAGTTTGAAGTAACAACTGTTACAATTAACTGCTTGTCGTGTTTTTGTTCTAAAGTGGAAACCAATCTTGCTGTTTATCTGGGGAAATCCCATCACAGTGCTGTTGATGTCATGTCACAGGAACAGTAGTTTTTTTTTTCTGTTTTGTTTTTTCAATCTGATTAACATGAGGTTTACAATAGTCAGGTTTTAATATAACAGCTGAATATAACACTCAACTTCACATGGTCTCGTTCTTCTCTTCACGTAGCTTCTCTTCCACCTGATCATCGACCACCTGGCTGATTTCTGCACCTCCACCAACGTCTTCAGCATGTTCTCAGAGCTGCTGAAAAAAACCTACTTCAACATCCTCATCAAACCTGACAAACTCGGCAAGTGAGTTGTCCGTTTCCCTCCGTCTTTTCCTTCCCTCTGACATTTCCGTCTCATCTTCCTGATTTCATCACCAGAGCTACATTGCCTTCTAGTGGTGAAATGTGACAATCTTTGGAGAGAGAGGGAGAGATCTCCTCTGACTGACCTCTTTCTGCCTTCACTTTGCTCCACCTCCTCTGACTCAGGGACGTCCGTTTGCTGATCCTGGAGCATTCTCGCTGGTCCATGGTGGAGAAGTACCAGGCTCTGACGGCCGGTCTCACCATCCAGGAGCTGATGGAGTTCAGCCGCAGCTTCAGGAAGGAGTTGTTCGCAGAAGGGCTGGTGCAGGGAAACGTCAGCAGCTCTGTGAGTGGACCACAGTGGAGAACACAGACAAACAGATTGATTAGCGATAGCATTGGATGATTTGATTGTGAGTACTCTAGTTTCTCTCCTATCTCTGACTGTTCATTATCACTTTATTGTATTTCCTCCACAGGAGTCGCTGCAGTTCCTGCAGTATGTCACAGAGTAAGTGAGCTCTAACCCTGAGTGAACTCTCTAATAAGGACACAATCACACACACCGTGCACAGTAATTAGCACTGGTTTCAATTTCTATTATCCTTTCACCTTCTTTAAAACTTTCTCACCACTTTTCTTTTTCTCCCTGGCCTCATTGCGTCCTTACAGGGTTTTGTCTTTCCCTCGTAGTTTTCTCTTTAAATTCAAAGATAATATATCAAGTTAAAGATGTTGTGCTGAAAGTTGGACTTTAGTTTTATAATTTAGAATTTTTTACTAGTATTCTAGAAGTGGAGAAATGTCAGAATATGACCTGGGCCTCAGTCAGAGATTTAACTGTTTTAATCTAATAATGATGACAAAGTATCGACTGTAAAGTCAGCTGTCACAGAGTGAATGTAAAGTTAGACGTTTTATCTATTTATTTTTAATTAGATTTATTAATCTAGCTTATTTTATCTTATTTCTATTAGATATGTTAATGTGACATCTGACATTTAAAAATCTTGATTAATTGAATCTTCTATACCTTTTTATATGTAGTTTTACTAAAGTAAATGTTGTAGTTTTGATAAATCTGAATGTCATCTGACAAGTATCCTCATTTATTGTTATTAAATATCAATTAAGGGATAACTTTAATTCATTTTATTTTAATTAATTTAGGATTTGTGCCACAAGTCAGAGCCTAACTTTAATCTTCCAGTTCAGACTCTGAGTGAAACGATTATGTAAATAAAATTTTCTTCTAGGGTTATTTCCAAACCCATTCATCTTTCATCTAACTTTTTTTTTTTTTGGCAGTAAGCTGCAGTTTTCAAAATTGCAAGAGGAAGTGCCAGTGATGTTCCAAGTGGTGGAGCTTCCTTTGAAGCATCACATCTGCAAAGTCCAGTCACTCAACAAACGAGACGCCAACTCTGAGGTCACAGTTTACTACCAGGTACACGCTGCTGGACGTAGGCTATCGTCCTGTTCATTTGGACTTAAACACATCTGTTGTGTTTGAGGCTCAGTATTTCTCTCACGTTGCACGTTATTTCATCTAGTCTGGTCCCAAGTCCTTGAGGGAACACACGCTGATGGAGCTGTTAGTGGTGAGTACTCGAGTGTTTCTCTCCCGTCTCCAAAGTTTGGGCTTCATTTCTTCTGTCAGTCCTTCAGGTCATTCTCTCCAACACTGACTGAACTTTTGCTCCTGCTGCCGTTGTTTCAGATGCACATGGAAGAACCCTGCTTCGACTTCCTCCGAACCAAAGAAACACTTGGGTGAGTTTCTCTAGTTCTGTTCCATTCATTAGCAGCAGCACTGAGGCAGCTTTTTGGGCCACAATTCCTGTCGCTCTGCAGCATAACTCAACATTAAAGGGCAAATATGTAATTAATACTGTGGAAATATAGGTTATGGTTCAGAGAAGCTGAGTCGTACTGATGAAATATGTTGTAACCTAATGGGAAGTGTGCTTAAAGTTCTCCCTGTTTAACTCTCAGACAGCCTGGGATTACAGAGGGGGTTTTTTTACGAAGAAAAAGGCTGAAGGCAACATTTAAGATGCAGGATAAATAATTTTGACTCAGTTCAGACCAAATGCTGCCATTTTCCTCCTCCCCGGTTCATATTTTCTGCAGATAGTTGAGTTTGCTTGTCTGGAACAAATATGCAAAGAAATAATTTGGCCCGACATTTGACACTGCTAACAACCTCCTGTTTTAAAGAAACATGAGTAAAGTTTGTTCCTCACCATCTTCATCATTCCCATGGTGCAGCAGCGTCCTTAAAAAACCTTGAACACAACGACAGCCTGCTTTGAAAACTTTTCCTGATAGTTGACTCAAAGGGTTTATATTATATCATATATAAATTGACTTTGTCAGGGTTTTACATACGTTGGTGTTTCTGCCAGATTTATTTTATGATGTTTGTTCAGCTGAATATGTCTTCAAATATGCTGTTCCGATTTTTGAGATTTATTTTATGATGTTTGTTCAGCTTCAAATATGCTATTCCGATTTTTTATTAAAAAAAAAAACCTGCCCACTCGCTGTGTAGCTCCACCCATTCAACCACTACTACCTGCCGTTTTCTCACACACGACAGCCGGACCGCTGTCATGTATGACCCAGAAACAGAGCACAGCTGCTCTTTTAGCACAGAACTAAATGAGCAGCAGCTTTGTTATTATGTAGATGTCAAGCAACCATATGAATTTTAAAAAAGTAGCCTAGTATGCCCCCTTTAGGCTAATGCACTGTAAATACCATGGGCTGTGTTGAATTGTGTAATGGTGTTTGACCTTTGACATTAATCTGTCTTCTACAAACTAACATTAGAAGCAGAATTTAGCTGTGTTAAGCCTTTAAAATAGCAGTTCTTGTTTAAGTATTGTCATATAATGATTTAATTATTATGTAAATGATGATCATTACTGCCTGGTATGTGTCACTGGTTATTCATACACCTCATTAAAAGCCCTTCAAAATCTGTCTGTCTGCACAGGTGTCTCAATTTATTATCTGCTTGTCTTCCTCTTAAACTCTTTTATTTTTTCTTCTCTCCTGCTGCAGGTACCACGTTTACCCCACCTGCAGAAACACCTCAGGTGTCCTGGGTTTCTCTGTCACTGTGGAAACACAGGCCACCAAGTTCAAGTGAGTCCACATCACAATCCTAACCTTTTATTTCCCCCACAGCCAGATACACTTTATCTCAAGCGTGTTCCCAGTAACCACAGTACAATCTATCTTACTGTTGTTCACCCAAATCCGAGCTGCGATTTATCCAGTGTGAGCGTGGAAGGAGAGAAGAGAGTGGAACTGATGAATGGCTAAAGGAATCAAATACAGCCTGCAGCCAATAATATGTCTCCTTCCTCTGTTTTTTTTTTTTTTACTTCTAAGCACTGAGCTGGTGGAGCTAAAGATTGAAGAGTTTTTGGCTTCATTTGGAGAAAACCTGAACGCTCTGACTGAAGAGGCCTTTAATACTCAGGTCTGTGTGTGGTGTGTGTCCTGTATGTGACTGTTGTGTATATATTAGATACACAGAGGCAGCAGCAAATGATAAATATTATTTTAACAAATTATTAGATGAGATGTTTTGTTGTTTCATTGGTGTAATAGCTATAATAAAACGTCACCTGAACCATCACCCTAAAAGAGTAATGAAGTAGAGTCTGAAGCATGTTAAGAAAAATGTGTGTGTGTTTTGTACAGGTAACTGCTTTAATAAAGCTGAAGGAATGTGAGGACACGCACCTCTGTGAGGAGGTGGATAGAAACTGGAACGAAGTGGTAACACAACAGTATGTGTTTGACAGACTCAACAGAGAGGTGAGGAACACACACACACACAGACACACACACACACACACCGATTTCTGAATTGTAATGAAAGTGGGATAAATGTAAAATTTTCACTAATAAAAAAAGTTAGTGTCACAGATTCACCACAATTTCTTAAGAAACAGGTTTCCTGTTATAAATCCACATGGTTATTTGAAGCAGCAGGTTAGGGTGATAAAGGAGAGATGAGAAAGTGCACTGGTATTTCAAGAAAGTGGAATGTTCCCTTGAGGAGCTGATGAATAAGGACAAAAGTGGAAAGTTTGTAGTGTTGCAGCAGTTGAAGGTAAGTGGGAGAGCAAAAGTCTCCAAGTTTTCTCCAGGGCCCTTCTTTTGTAGACGAGACTATTGTCCCGGCTCCTCATTGTTACACATTTACAGCTTTTGCTTCAAACGTCACTGAACTTGATGTCAAACTGTGAGTCCTACAAAACTGCTGTCCTGTCTGAACAAAAGAAAAAAGTAACGATTGTGGGGAGGGGGGGTTCATAAAGAAAAAAGAACTTTTAAACTGTCCTCAACACAACATGCAAAGACGAGACAAACTATAATTAAATATGAATGAATGAATGGGTGTAAATACATGTTAGCCATCTCCATTAGCAGCATTTGAAGCCTGCCAGCTGGAGGACTAAATAAGTAATTGCCCGTCTTATGAAGCTAAATAGGTCACAAGTTTTTTATACTGGTTAAATAAACAGTTATTATGAAAAATAAATGTTTACTTTTGCACTAAACACACGAGCCAGACAATACAAAAAGCATTTATAGCAGAGCGCGGTTGGCAGAGACGGTGTCAGGTTGCTTTGATATTAATCCTCAAACTAAAGAAAGTTACATGTTAACAGTTAACTAGTCCATTTTATGAACACAAAACCCATTTGTCATAAATGTGTATTTAACTGTAGACGTACTGTGATACTGTACGATTCACACTCTACTGTATCTCCGAGTGTAGTTCCCGCTTCGACACCAGTTTCTTGACAGCAGCTGACGCCAACAACTTCCACTGCCAAATCACTTAACTGTTTTCACTGCCATCAGGTGGCTCGGCGCTTTGAGAGCAATAAGGACATGAAAACAGACTGGCAGACGTGAGACCCTGACGTATCATCTCTGTGAAGTGTTACCCAGTCTGGCACATGACTCAAAGGATTTTTATTCCGTGGGGGAATCACGTTTTCTGATTCTAGGTCCAGTGTCCTCCCTCCCTCTTCTCTTACTGTTGGCTCAGACCCCGTACCAACTCCAGGGGGAGATGACTGGCTTTTTCCTGGCAGTTTGTGTAGGGTTTGATTAATGAAGTGGTTCACTGATGGCTACATTAAGAGAGCTGTTTTAAAACAAGAACAACTAAACAAGGCTTTAAAGGTAACAGATAATGCTGTGGTTTGTCATCTCCAACCACCTGGTCAACATGTGACTGCAGCCTTGGTCCAAATGTTGCCCTCACCTGCGAGTCATGTCCAATAGTTTTTAAACTAGATGAATGATAATGAATGTAGTATTTAAATTCTTTTGAACAGTAACTTCTATATCTGTCCTTGAGCTAACGTAACTGTATTTGCTTTTCCCCTTGTATTTTTTTTATATTCTACACCCACTACACACTGGTGTTTTACTGTTTCTAGTTTAGTTGTATTTAAGCTGACTTCAGGCCATTTGCCTTTTTTTTTTTTTCAAACATTTCAACAGTTTTGGGTTAATTGTTTCTCATTGTGATTTGTTTTTTTTTTTTAATATTTTACGACTTCAATAATTTTTGTTTCATTCACTTAGAAATATTTCTAGGACAACGATTTGTTTTCTCGCTTTTCATTGAGTTTTCTGACCTAAAATTAAGAAAGTTTTGTAAAACATTTATTGTGACCTACATTTAATGCAGAATAAATAAACGGTCCTACATTAATTGAAAGAAATCTCATGTATTACAGAAGGCGCAGTAGTTAACTTTTAAATACTCAGCCAAATCAAAGTTCTGTTTCTGTGTTCAGGTGAACGCTCTGAAGCAGATGACCAAAGATGAACTGCTCTGCTGGTTCCAGGAACACAGAACAGAAAGCTGCCGCAAACTCAGCGTACACGTGAGTGTTTTTGAACCTTATTTAATGTTCATTTTTAGCTTCCCTCTAATTGATCACTGTCTCCTGAAGGTGGTGGGATTTGGGGCAGAAGAAAACAAGGAGAACGGTGAGAGCAGGAAACGGGAAGGAAAGGGAAGCAGTGAGGAGGATTTGAGTGGCTCCAGCTACGGGGAGGTGTCCAAGCTCACGGTTCTTCCTGCCTCACCCAAAATGGCCGACGCCCCTGCCGGCACTGACATGGGAATGAACTCAGACGGACAGCTGAGGATTCAAACTCCTACCTGATCTATAGTTAAAGAGACGCCGCCTCAGATTCAGACATTTCATAAAGTAGAGGTGAAACATCTCCTGCTCCTCTGGTCATCTGGAGGCCAGCTGAAGGTGTTGATTTTACCTGTAATGTCTGAAGAAGCAGAAAGTCTAGGAGTGGAGTGAACAGATAGTTTTTAACTTAGTGAACATCTACAGTTTTTTCTCTTTGCGTTTGGACTTTTTCTCTGAATTACTGTGAATCCGTGAGTTCTAAGTGAAAGGATCAAACTTAATTCAAAATCATGATATAATAATCATTACATTCTGAGGCATAGGATCTTGAGTTATTTCTGATATTTGACCAACACAAATACCTCAAACACTGATGGAGACTAAATTTAGAGACTGCATCTCCAGAGGATGAAAGAATTTTACGACTCCAATCAGAAAATTCAAGCAGCCAGATTTTTGCCAAAATCTATCTTCGTCTAAAATCTAAACAAATAAACTATAATGAACGAGTCTGTTGCTAAAAAAAAAGTAGCCACATTTATAGCTAACATTTTGCCTAGCGCTAACACTGACATGGAAATAATTTGTAAAAAAAAGCCTTTAAAAACTAAATCATCAGTCACAAAAAGTCATCTTTTTGTCCTGTTAGAAACTAGTGATTAATATTTAACTCCAAGCAGCAATTTAAATGATGCACATTCAGTTTTAATGGGGTCAAACACCACACAAACACATACTTGACAAATAGTGGAGAGTGTGTGTTTGTATGCTGATGACTCAGCCGTTTAATTTATGCTGCTTAATGTATTTTAAATTTGTCTGTTACTCTGCCGTATACCTACCCTCTCCCCGAGGATAAAAATAATAACAGGCTTGTTGCAGACGACGAGTTGTGTGTGCGCTCGTTTGTGCGTGTGTGTGTGTGGCCTTGCGGCTAGTGACGCCGTGTGTGTTTTAAATGCAATTAAAAAGGAATGCAGAGCCCAGTGCGGTACGGCAGAGCAGGGATGACAGGATTGACTAATACACCCAGGAGCCTTGACTTCATACTGCAGTCTGCTTCATACACACTGCTGTTCTGACTTCCTGCCATGGACAATTGACAACAATCCTGCTACACATTAAAACCACAGGCTTTGTGTCTCATCTGTAGCTGTTGTTTATCCTTATTTAATATTTACAATCATACAAACGTTACTGCTGTAAAACATGACTCGATGCTGTCACTAGGGGCAGTAATTGACATGCATGATTTTCCTAAATCTCCGTGAAAAGGCAGATTATGTCGGTTACCTTCCCAATGGCTTTGAATATTGTAGTATTTCAGAATACATCAAAGGCATCAGAACACCTCAAAGGACTAATTGAATACATTAAAGGAGCAAGTGCTCTATGTTATTCCATATAGTGAAGCTCTTTAATCCATTCCAGGGCTACATTTTTGCAGCAATTTTGACCCTAATAGAACGCATCCTAATCCTGGTAAACTAGTCAAATATGTCAATAGAATAATAAAAGGCATTGAGGAACTTGTAGCAAACATCAAAGGATTGAATGTCTTTCCAACTTAAAACTAGTACATTTTTTGCTACTTTAAGAAAAAAGGAATAATCCTTTAGACATCAAAGGAATTATAGAAAACATCAAACATCAGTTGTGTTTTGATGATGTCCCTTCATCCAAACTATTTAAAATAATCCATGGAGACATTTTAAGCCTTTTCAGTGTTACACTTTTTCAGCTAAATTAAGTTCTTAATGTACATGGTGGATCCTAAATCTCTTTTCTAAAAGGCGACCTTAATATTTTTTTGCAGTCTGCTGATAAGGGATGCAGTATAAGTCATGGACTTGGCTGCCTCCACACTAGCGGATAAGACATGGCGCCACCTTTTTATCCACCCTCTTGTTGTGTTGCAGTCTCAGAGATGAATATCAGTGTTTAGTTTTAG